TTCTGTATACGCATAGAAAATAAGTTGAGTAGCAATACAAAAGTAGAAAGAGACGTGAGACAAGGATGCGTCATCTAACCGGATTTATTTAACCTATACAGCGAGGCAAGTCTGAGAGAATTAGAAATCCTATCAGGATTAATTATTAACAGCCAGAATCTTAACCATATAAGATATGCAGATGACACAGTGCTGATAGCAGACACAGAAAGGAAGCTACAAAGCCTCCTACAGAAGGTAACGAAAAAAAAAGCGAGAAGAAAGGAGTAAGCCTAAACTACAAGAAGACAGAATGCATGGTCACCAGCAAAAAGATGAGACCAAAAGCAAATTACAAGGGATACTAAAATCAAGCAACAGTGGAAGGAAAGTGCGACACTGAAATCCGAAGTAGTATTGGAGTGGCCAAAGATGCATTTCAAAAGCTAAGCAGAGTATTAAGAGACAGGAAAAACTTCGTTTGAAAAAAAAAAGAAAAAAAAAAAGAGTACTGAACTGTTGCGTGATATATGTCCTCCTGTACGGCAGCGAATGCTAGACAGTCTCCTCAAAGATGAAGTAGACACTTGAAGCAATAGAAATGTGGTTCTACAGAAGGATACTGAGGATAGCATGAAATATCGAATATGTGAGCAACGATGAAGTTTTAGAGAAAAAGGAAACCAAAAGGAAACTTATACCCTAATTCCCCATGTGTAATACGCATTTTTTCTAAAAATAATAAGCAAAATTAGGGGTGCGTATTATGCCGACAGCTAAAAAAATATCTTGAAAAAATTGCCGTTTCATAGGTCGATTTCAGTTGAGAAATGACTACTCACCACAAACATACGACAATTTGACACTAACATTCGGCTATTGCAACCCCATAAGGATGTCAAATACAATCATGTACCTAACAAGACTTACAAATTTAAAATAAAATAAGAATTATCATAAAACTAAATTAGAAGAATATTATTCTATGTTTAAAACCATTTTGGGGGTGAAAAACTACATACAGATCCGGCAGATTGCACGTTATCGAACAAAAACAGGTTAATGAGTCTGCGCAGTAGGTACGATATAGGTATTTCCGTTTCATGATGATGGGAAATTTTGATAAATATCTTCAATTTCAGCTTGAATAAGAATAGGAAACGCTGATCGTAATGAAATTGGAGACAGACAATTTATAGGGTTTGATTACCAAACAAGGGGTGCGTATTATGCATGAATAGAAGCATTTTCCCATACTTTCAACACAATTTTAGGGGTGCGTATTATAGATGAAGGCGTATTATACATGGGGAATTACGGTACAGAACATTTACAGCGACGCTATCCTAAGAAAATTGGTGACCCTATTCATATTTATTATCGGTGGACGTAAATCTTAACAGATGCAGCCTGAAAGATTCCTTGGAGTTGCATATAATATTTTCTTATTTTCACTCTATGTGTGTATATCTTGTAGATGAAATATTTACACTTCTTCGAAACTTGTAGTCTGGCGCTACAGAATCACAAAGAACGAAACCAAATAGCAGGAACTAAATTAATTGAGGACTCAACAACGACCAAAATGGAAGGTGGATTCATTATAGACAAGACATTTTTTTTCGTTAGAATCCGTTTGACGCGTTAATAAATCTAGCATTCACCAGCGCATCGAATATGGCTGGCATATCTGGTTTAGTTCTGCTATACATCTCGAAATTCCCGACGAAATCTAAAGAAAGGTCTGTAATATTATCGGTCTTGACCTGGCATCTCAACTTCAGTCATTTTCTCACCGCCCTAGCGTGCAGTCCCTCTGCCCTTTTTATAAATAATTTAATGATATTGGTGCTATTGAGCTCTCCGTCTTAGTAACTCGGCCGCATGAACTTAAGCGTACTACTAGATTGGCGGTTAGGTCTCATCGTTTTACTGTTGAAGGAGCGAGATGTAACCGCAAGTACTATTCTAATATTTTTATTTTCTCGCACTTCTTACCCGTGGAACTATCTTCCAATTTTTTGCTTCCTTGCCATCAATGATCTTCAAAAGTTTAAATGCAATGTCAGTCGCCATCTTCTGTCTTCCTGAAATCTGTTCTTGTTCTTCACATTCTCTTCCTCTCTCAGAAGGAACCCCTTGCGTCTTAGTGGCATTATCGCCTTGCTCCGGTTGATTGAAAATAATTAAAAAACAAACAAAAAACATGTAACTCGAAGAGTAAATAATGGCAAAATCAAAATGTTGACATTCCACACTACTTCAAACAAAAGGTTAGGAAGGAAACACTCATCAATACTAAAAAGAGTGATAACAGCTACTGGGATTGAGAAGAGAAAATAATGACATAATCAAATGTGGACATTCCACACTACTTCAAATAAAAGGTTAGGAAGGAAACTCCCATCAATACTGAAAAGAGTGATAACAGCTACTAGGATTGAGAAGAGAAAATAATGACATAATCAAGATGTGGACATTCCACACTACTTCAAATAAAAGGCTAGGAAGGAAACCCCCATCAATAGTGGAAAGAGTGATAACAGCTACTGGACTTGAGAAAAGAAAATCATGACATAATCAAGATCTTAACGTTCCTCACTACTTCAAACAAAAGGTTAGGAAAAAATTATCCCTAGAAAGATTACAGCTTTAGACTTGAGAAAACTATTTCCCTGAAAAATTATTTTAAGAGAAAGAATTTATAAGTTTCAAACGACAGTGGTACTGTCTGCTCGGTCAATGAAAGCCGAATTTTTACTCATAAGGAAATGACTATCAGCATAGCAGTTAACATTACAGTGTTCGATTCTAGGTAAAATGAAAAGAGTCAGGATTACGAACGCTGGTTTTCTAGACAAGTCCTCTCCATTTAGAAAAATGGCGTCACACGTTCTTAACTTGTTACTTGATTTTACGTAAGACTAAACCCCAAATAAATATCGTGTGTGTCTGTGTGTCTGTGTGTGTGTCTCTGCGTGATTTGGATTTAACTGGCAAATATTTCTGTACTGGATTCTTATGATCTGTAAATTGTTGATAAATCTTTGTGTTTGATTCGTTCCGAACGCTTTGATTCTGTAAATGTTTCCCATGTAAAGATTTCCTGTTAATACTTGTGAATTTTATTGATTCCGTTTCAAAATCACATCAGCCCAGACATTGCTCATAGGCTAAAAGGTCTTCAGTAACTTACTTGTAAAGCATAAATGTCAAATGTGACGTCAGTCAATACTTCTCTTTTGCACCATCAATCGTTGAAGCAATAACATAATACATATTGCCATATGTATTCACTGGCATACAGGAGGTTAAGGATTTATATCTTCTATATTCCGTGTCCCTTCAGGACGTTGGCGATCATAACTCTCCACAATTTCCTGTCCTTTGTAGCTCTTAATAAATTGAGACACCATCTCTCCCAAACCCTGCTCCACCATGGATTCATTCAAGCTCACTAGGTAGATGATGCGTTGTTTTCCTCAGCATCTCTGACCTTCAATCTATCGCGTGAGTATTAAATTTTCCAAGATTTTTAGCTCATTACGTGCTCTAGAAATCCAGCTGTTTCTTTCTTTGTTTGCCATTGACTCTAGAACTTTGTCTTTGATAACATGTTCGGTTCAAGATATTCTTAGTATCCTTCTGTAGAATTATATATTTGTTGCATTGTCTCTTCTTCATCTGCGACAAAATTTTCCAATATTCACTGTCATATAGAAGATTAGATATTAGCAGTTACAGCATGCTTTCTTTTGTTTCTAAGGATATTCATCGATGGAAGCACATTTCTGTCACATTAGGCGTCTTCTTCATCTGTGAGGAAACTGTCCAGCATTTATTGCCATCTTGAAGAGTATACGTTGCATTGTATTTCAGCATTCGCTGTTTCTAAGGACATTCATCGATGGAAGCACATTTCTGTCGCATGAGGTGACTTCTTCATCTGTGTGGAAACTGTCCAGCATTTATTGCCATCTTGAAGAGTATACGTTGCATTGTATTTCAGCATTCGCTGTTTCTAAGGACATTCATCGATGGAAGCACATTTCTGTCGCATGAGGTGTCTTCTTCATCTGTGAGGAAACTGTCCAGCATTTATTGCCATCTTGAAGAGTATACGTTACATTGTATTTCAGCATTCGCTGTTTCTAAAGACATTCATCGATGGAAGCACATTTATGTCGCATGAGGTGTCTTCTTCATCTGTGAGGAAACTGTCCAGCATTTATTGCCATCTTGAAGAGTATACGTTACATTGTATTTCAGCATTCGCTGTTTCTAAAGACATTCATCGATGGAAGCACATTTCTGTCGCATGAGGTGTCTTCTTCATCTGTGAGGAAACTGTCCAGCATTTATTGCCATCTTGAAGAGTATACGTTACATTGTATTTCAGCATTCGCTGTTTCTAAAGACATTCATCGATGGAAGCACATTTATGTCGCATGAGGTGTCTTCTTCATCTGTGAAAAACTGTCCAGCATTTATTGCCATCTTGAAGAGTATACGTTACATTGTATTTCAGCATTCGCTGTTTCTAAAGACATTCATCGATGGAAGCACATTTATGTCGCATGAGGCGTCTTCTTCATCTGTGAGGAAACTGTCCAGCATTTATTGCCATCTTGAAGAGTATATGTTGCATTGTATTTCAGCATTCTTTTCTTTGTTTCTAACCACATTAATCGAAGAAAAAACAAAACTGAAACAATTCGACAATCACCAGTCTAGAACCGTCAAAGTCGCTTCCACGTGAAAGAGAATTCCTCGGATGTTCTGATTGTTCTATTATTCACTGTTAGCACGGACTTTGCTTCGAAAATTTTACCTACTCTTTGAAGACTATTCAGAGAAGTATTTTCTCCTTTCTCCATTTTAGGGGATGATGTAATAAACAGAGAAATTGTCATAAATAGAAATTATGGAATATCCGGAACCATTAGAGTAATTATTGGCCTCAAGATAAAAATCTAAAAGTAAGAAAAACGGACGGGGTAGAATAAACGGACAGGGTGGAATTAGCGATTGAATAAATAGACATGCTGGAAAAGGTTGCAATAAACGGGCATAATGGTGCAAACGGACAGGTTGCAGTAGATGGGTAGGACGGAACAAACGGGAAGGTCGGAATAAAAGGGGATGCTATAATAAAGGGGCAATCCTGAACAGTTATGGTGAAATGAACGGTGATATTCGAATAAACGGGCAGGGTGCGTTAAAAACAGGAGTGGTGGAATAAACGGGTAGGATAGAATAGAAGAAGTGGATACATAATCAGGCAAGTTGGAATAAACGGGGAGTGAGTAACAAACGAACAGGCTTAAATAAACGGGTACGTTGGAAAAGAAATGGAATGGTGGAATAAACGGGCATATTTGAATAAACGAAATACACGGGGATATCAGAATAAACAGACAGGAATAAAAGGGGAGTCGCGAATAAACGGATAGGGTGGAATAAACTGGTATATTTTAATAAATGGGTAGGGTTTTTTCAAAAGAGATTTGTGGAATAAACGGACAGGGTGGAATAAAATGGTGTTCAAATAAACGTACAGGATGGAATTTAAAGTCATTGAATAAACGGGTAGGGTGGAATAAACGAGCAGGTAGGAATAAACGGGAATATCAAAATAAACGAACAGGCAAGAAAAACAGGGATACTGGAATAATCGGATAGGGTGGAATAAACGTTCAGGGTGAATTCAAAACAGGTGGTATGGAATAAACGGGAGGTTAGGATAAAAAGACAGGGCAGAATAAAAGGGGCGTTGAACTGGTCAGGGTGGAATAAAGGTGTGTTGGAATAAACAGGCATGTTGGAATAAATGGACAGGGTGGAATAAAAGGGGGGGTGTCAGTTTATAGAAACATAAGGTTTGCAAGGAAATTCTCATCAGTCCAAGATCGAATGATAAGAACAGACTTCAGAAGTCGAATTATCTGAAAAGCAATTTACGAAACAGGGTTTATAAATTTCAGCCGAGTGTAACGCCAACTTTTCCGTGAATAAATACCAAATGTTTTCTGTATAGCAAATTCAATCGTTTAACTTGTCGTGTCCACTAAAATATCAACTACAATATTTATAAACCAATCACTCAAGAAAACACTTACATCTTAAAAGACACCAATAAAATCATAGATTACAAATCAGAATGTTTGTTGTATTAGTCATCATTATTTTTAGATAGATACCAACCAAATATCGTACGAACGTAGTAGAAGACATACCACGTGCCCTTTTAGGGTCAATTAGGAATAAATAAATAATTTAATTCTGGAGCCGATTTCGTTACGAAAAAGTGTATAAAAACATACGAAATCCGTTCCCAAACAGGATACACACAGCTGTCACCAAACTCCACGCAACTCTCGCTGATGATCTTCATGGCCTCATGCTAAAAGCGATAGCGTTGACAAACTTCAGACTACGGCAACACCACCAACAGTAAGAAACAATTTCTATCTCTCGCATCCGCTTTACAATGAATCACGTACACACGTGTTGACTTTTTCCTACAAACACACATATCACAACATTTTATTATTTCTCACATACGTACACAAAGACAGTTTATATTTTATTTTAGAACTTTATTAACCCAAACAAAGACATTACTTTCCAATTTATTATCAACTGCTTGTATTCTTTTCGTTATATTAAATTAATGTTTATTTGTTGAATGATAATGGTGTGATTATTCTAGACGGTCAAATTATGAGCGACCCTGTAACGAGATTTTGTTAATGTATCGAATCCCAACACAACAAATTTTAACATTCAACGAAAAACTGAGGAGAAGGATTCCTACAAACTCTTTCCTGAACAATTTTAATCCTTCTGCCTGAGCTCCTGAGTCAAAATTTGCAAATAGTTGGTATGTAATGTTTCACGGTTGATCTAAAAATAGTTACAAGTGTTTAACCGGTGGCTGGGCCATTTTACCACTGTTCAACCGGCTGGAGCATTAAGTCATTTTCTACCACCGTTCAACCGGTGGCTGGGCACCGTGTCATTTTATCTCTACTACCGTTCAACCGGTGGCTGCACATTAAATCATTTATCTCTACCACCGTTCAACCGGTGGCTGGGCATTAAGTCATTTTTCTCTACCACCGTTCAACAGGCATTACGTCATTTTTCTTCTACCACCGTTCAACCGGTGGCTGGGCGATTAAGTCATTTATCTCTACCACCGTTCAACCGGTGGCTGGGCATTAAGTCATTTTCTCTACCACCGTTCAACCGGTGGCTGATCATTTATCTCTACCACCGTTCAACCGGTGGCTGGGCGTTGTCATTTATCTCTAAAACCGGTGGCTGGGCGATTTTTATCTCTACCACCGTTCAACCGGTGGCTGGGCGATAAATCATTTTCTCTACCACCGTTCAACCGGTGGCTGGGCATTAAGTCATTTTTCTCTACCACCGGTAAAGCGGTGGTCAGAGTTCAAAGGTTTAAAGCTATGGCATTGATTTTGTCTCAGAGAGCATCATTTCCAGGGCTAATCGTGGAGTATATCAGGCGGATATTTTTTTATAAAACAACGACAGTCTTACATTTTCCCAAAGCAGGGTGGCCAATAACTTAGAAAAGGTTTATTTTTTTAAAATTTCTTTTTTCATTAATCAAACTTGCTTTTGCCAAGCGTTGTTATTTAATAATAAAATAGTTTCGTTTTCTTTTGTTGAACGCTGTAATAACTTCTGTCGTCCCTAGAATTCAACAATGGAAAAAATTTCCAACTAGAACCAATTACTCCAAGGAAATATTCACTTCAAATTGCCACTGAATCATATCTAATTTCGTAGCCAGTACCAACTATCGAAACGTAGCTTTGGATGACTTCCGAATTTTATATGTGATTTTCTGTGACAATAGAAACAAAACAAATAGAATATTTATGTAAGAATATATAGTGGTTATTTCATATTCAAATAGGGAAATGCAATTATTTAAAAAAAAAAGGTAAATAAATGAATGAAAAAAAGAAATGGAAATTGAATTAAAATTGTTTTGAATTTTGGGGAATGCTAATTTGTAACGAATAGTTTATATTCCCTGATACTTTATAAGCAAAAATAAAATTAAATAAATAATATATTTTAGAAAGAAAAAATGACAAAAAAACTTGATTTAAACTCAACAAACAAGATGGATTAAAATAATAAGGTAGAAAATCCGTACGAAATATAAATAAAACATTTCAATCCACTCATGTTTCAAAATGGTGGACAGTGTTTTCCCTTTTTCGTTTCGAATTGGAGCGTTTCTTCTGTTATAAGCAAATGGTAGTGGGTGGATTTCTTTTTTAACTGGATTTTGTTGCACGCGCGGCCAAGTAAAATTCGTCAGTTTAAACTAATCTGTGGCGTCATCGAATAACGAAAGATATTGAATGGCATTTCGCCAGAAAATAACACAACTGAAAATACTAAATAAATCTTATCGTGCTTTCTTTTTTTTTTCTAATAATAAACTCTTTACACAAAGATTTTGATATTCTAGTGCGTCTAATTTTCCAAGATTGTAAGAATATATACGTAGTTATTGTCGACTTGCGGGCGCGTGTCTCTGTGTGTGCCAAGATATGTCGATTTACCAATTTTATATTACCTGTACTGTGGCAACCAAAAGAATGTAGCTACATTGGTAAAAAAATGAATTTGTTTAATTTTTATATAAAGAAGCAGACAGAGAGAAAATTTTAGTAATCGAAAGGTGCATTGGAATAGAGAAAGTGGACTTTAAAGAAAGTATTAAGAAACAGGAAGATTTGTTTAGAAGCAAAGTGCGGAACTGTTATGTAATATCAAGCCTTCTGTATGGCAGTGAATGCTGGACATTTTCCTTACAGATGAAGAAGAGACTCGAGTCAAGAGAAATGTGGTTCTATAGAAGGATGCTGAGTATAACGTTGGTGTAACAAGTGAGCGACAGGGAAGGTTTAATGAAAATGGAAACAAAAACACGCAGGGTGGGGCTGAAAAGTTCACAGGCTGACTATGAAGGGGTGATGCTAGAGCTGTGAAACCTTCCATACATTCATTTCAACTCTTCTTATTGATAACTACATTGTTTCTTTCTAGGCACGAAACAAAGAATTTTAACAATTAATAAAAAATACATTACTTGAAGACTTTCAACAGCTGCAACAGTTAAAATGGATAGCAGTTGAAACTTGAAGAAATAATAATGAAATTATCAAGATATTGACCCTCCACATTACTTCAAACAAAAGGCTAGGAAGGAAACTTTTCATCAATACGGGAAAGAGAGATAACAATGTACTTGAATAACTTATTTTCCTGAAAATTTTTTTTATAAAAAAGATTTTATAAATTTAACCGGGTAGTACTGGCTGCTCGGCCAGTGAATGCCAAATGTTTCCTTATAAGGAAACAGTTAATATTACAATTACGATTACAAACGAAGAGAACAGATACTACACTTTGATTCCGGCGAAATGATCAGAAAATGAAGGAAAGCATTACCCGAGTTGCCCGATCAATGAAGGCCGAATGTTTCCTTATAAGGAAGGATGCAGTATTACCATTAATACGAGGAGAATTGCTACACACTATGATACCAGCCCGATGGCCAAGGAGTGAAGAAAAGGCTGGTCAATGAATTATGAATGTTTCCTTATAAGGAAACGGCTAATATTATCAATGCCATTGCCATATGCATGTGTCTGCATATTAGCTGGTGTATACGTATGTAGGGGGCCCGTGGCGGTTACCACTTGTAGTGGGTTCATGGCGTCGCTGTTAACTGTTGTTGATAGAAGTCAGACGTAGAAGAAACGCAAGGTTCAGATACTCCTACCCGCCGAGCCCAACTACATAAAAAGGTTGGACTTTGATTAAGTCCAAAGAAGAAGGAAA